CGCTCCCCCGCGCCTCTCTGCCACGCAGGCCGGCCAGGCGGGGGTGATGGTCGCGGAGGTGGCCGGGGTTCACCGCTCGCCGGGCTGCGAACGTTGTCTCCGAGCGGGGGTCCTGGTTTCCACCATCAGACGCTGGGTCGGGTGTCCAGGTCAGCCCGGTCTGGTGCTTTAGTTCTTCGGGTGAGAAAGTGGGGGTTTTCGGGTCCCTCCCCCGGGTCTGGAGCATTCGCGAGGTGAACGCACGTCCCCGGCCTTTGGCAGGGATGTGGGAGCCCGACACGGGAACAAGCACGCCCCGCCCGCTGGGTGCACCGGGGTGAAGTTGGAGCCGAGCCAGAGAGGGAGGACCGGACCTCTGGGGAGTGGGCTGTGGGGAGGGGTGGGCTTGTCAAACTTTCCCGGAACCCTTGTCTCAGATCCAACATCGGGTTGCCCTCTGACACTCTGAGTGGTAGGCACTCCTGGAATGAGTGAGTGAGTGAGTGAGAGAGCGAATCTTCAAGGCGATACCTAAATAGGGAGATAAAAATGGAAGGAGTGGGGTCAGTAGGTAGGTGGTTAAGGATGCTGGTGGACTCCCACATGGCTGACCTCGGCTTGCTCACTCGCTCTCTCTGTCTCTGGTCAAATTTAAATACATAAATAAATAAAGTTAAAAAATGGAAGGAGTGAACAACGTGTTGTTAAAGTAGTTTCTATTCTTGTGGCCACACGTCTAAGGGGAGGAGGAGAGAGACGGTTTAACAGGGAAATCGTGTCACATATATACATACACACATATCTGTATATATATGTACGGTTTGTATTACATTTCTTTCCACTGGGCAGCACTGCACTGCGATGAGACTATGTGAAAACCACCCTAAAGTTCTCAAAGCCGAGCCATCCTCTCTGCTGGCCAGGATCACAGTTTGTGTCCCGGAAAGCCGTGAGTCATCACAGTTCAGGCAGGTACATCTTAGGTCATGCAGGACGAAAGTCACCCTTTCCTTGTTAAAGAAAATACAGCAGACCCGAAGCTCAGAGAGGAGCAGGGGTCTGCCGGAGATGACACGGCTGTTACATGCCCGCGGCAGGACCAGAACCAGCACCCTCCATTCCTGGCCTGCCCTTTGCTCACTGCACTTGGAGACAAATGGGTCCCTCCTCCTGGCCTGGGGAGAACCATTGTGAAGGCGTTTGCTGTTACTGTGTTGGCTGGGTGCTTTCTGTGTTGCCATATGGCTCTGAGGCCTGCATTTCACACAGCCAAGGTTCTAGGGGGGCCCTGCCAGAGCACAGCACTACCCCGACCTCAAGCAGAGCTGTGGAGGGCTGTGGAGCTGGATGTGGGGTCCCCTGGGGCACCTGAAGCCAGGTAGGACCTTACACACCAACAGCCACTTACAGGGATAAGGTCCCAAAGGGGCCTGGGTGCTCCGAGGTGTGGGCATCGCAGGGCCCTGGCGTGGGGTGGCGGGTGTGGTTGTTACTGAGCAGGTTCGCTTGCCCAAACTCACCAAGCAAACTGGACGCAAAGTGTGATGGTGGGAGCAGAAGAGTGGGCTGGTCTCCAGAGGAGTTCCTCACGTGCATTTTGAAGGGTAAAATTAAGGGCACAGTTTCCAGGCAAGGATTAGCTGAGTGATTGGTTCGAGAGGGTGCAATCATCTCGTGGGCCCTCCTGACTGGCCAGGTCTTAGGTAATCTAAGTTCTGTTCCAGGAGGGAACAGTAAGGTTTCCAGTGCTGTCCAGCTGGGGTCTGTGCACTCACGGCCAGCAATTTCTTTCTCTTTCTTTCTTTCTCTCCCTATTTCTCCCTTTCTTCTTCCTTCCTTCCTTCATTCCTTTCTTTCTTTTTCTTTCTTTTTCATTTGTTTATTTCAATTTGATGAGAGAGAGAGAAAGAGAGGAAGCAAACCACCAGGTCCAGGACTCAAACTGAGATCGACCACGTGGGAATTCAGCACCTTTAACCACCATGCCACCTGCCCTCCCCCAGCCAGCAATTTCTCTACTGGGAAGCCTCTTAATTTAGTGATGGGTAAAGTGCTGCACTCCCACATGGTTAACCAGTTTGAATCCTGGATCTGGCGGCTTGAAAATGACACAGGGAATGTGTGCACAGGGTACCCATAATCCCTGGAGGAAAATGGATTGCTAAATGACCATTCCCCCCCCCCGGGGGGTGAGTTCTCACTTTCCCTCTTATTGTTTCCAGTGAGTGCTTACACCCTATAACAAAAAAAAAAAAAGGTAAAGCCACTGTCACTCCTCTAAGTGACTCTCACAGTCATGACCCTCACTGATGGCCAGTTTGCTCCATTACCACAGCCCAAGTCTGAAGTCGTACCCTTATTTAGGCCCTTAAGATGGAAATGAGTCCTGTGGGGCTGGCCGGTGGCGGTGGCTGAGAGCGCTGGACCATCATCATGACTAGCTGCAGTTTGAGTCCTGGACCTGGTGGCTTGGTTTCTCACTTTCTCTGCCCCTCTCTGATCAAATTAAAGTAAAGGTAAATACAGGGATTCTTTCAAAGAAAGAAAGAAATGAATCTTACATTCCAAACCCCTTAGACATTTTACTTTTATTTCAGCTCTTACTAATTTTCAGTTTGGGGAATTCTCATCCTTTCTCTTCTTCCTTAGGTTTTTGCCATAGCATATGTGCACGCCAAAGAAACAGCGAGAGAGTGAAAGCGCACCCCAGGGGATGGCCACGCTGCAATCCCTACTTCACCGTTGCTCTCTTGGGCAAGGGAGAAAGCAAGCCCCTGGGTCCAGGACTTGAACCGTGATCAGCCATGTGAGAGTATCCAGCACCTTAACCACCATGCCACCTGTCCCCGACAGGTGCTTTTTTTAATGTAAAGAATTATTTATTTAATTTTGTCTATTCATTCATTTATTTTAATTTGACCATAGAGAGAGACACACAGAGAGAAAGGGAAAGTGAGAAAGCAAGCCACCAGGTCCAGGACTTGAACCACAATCGGCCGTGTGGGAGTGTCCAGCACCTTAACCACCATGGCTCTTGCTGGTCCTAGGGATTTACAGTTTTTAGGTTGGTGACTGGGAAAGAAAGACTGTACTTTAACAGAGGTCAGGAGGCTTAACATACATCACAAAGACACTATGCCTGGGATGTGGGAAAAGTCCTCTTCTGACTCAAAATGGTCTGTAAATCTTTGTGGGCGTGATCCCCCAGCCCTCTGGAAAGAATTTTGGAAATAGAAAAGCACAGACTTCTGTCCTCACCGTCTTCCTTTGACTCTCTTGAATCTATCAGCCTGCAACTCTCCTGCACTTCTGGCTAGAGGTCAAAAGAAAGAACAGAGGATGGTCTCTAAAGCCTGTGAGGAAAGAGGGAGCAGACCCAGGGTCCAGACAGAGACTCCTCCCATCTCACTCCACTTGACCAGAAGGCAGGGAGGGGAGGAGGGTGGGTGCTATCACCTACATTAGTGGCATTTCTCTGGGTGGCCCCTTTCTTCCTGCAGGAAAAGCTTGGCGAGGTTGACAAAGAACGTGGCTGAACATGAAGAGCAGCCTTGGTCTGAGTGCTCCTCTTAGCAGAGAGCTCCTTTTAGCTCCTCAAGCCCCGAGGAAGGGCCAGGAGACAGTCCCAGGAGCGCTGCTTGGGGCATGGGTGGGGCAAGGAGAGGTGAGTTCTGATCCACTGAGTCAGAGCTTCAGGCAGGCAACTTCTGAAGCCCTCAGGCTAGGGAGGGACTCAGAGAGACTGAGAGGGAAGCCACCTGGGGTGTGTGTGTGTGTGTGTGTGTG